TACCAATTGTTCTGCTCTAAAAGACAAATGTCAAAATGATGTAGGGCTGCATTTACCTGTAAGCGTTTACAAACATTGCTCAAGCCAGTTGCATCTTGGGAAATGCTTTTATAGCTGTGGCAAATACTCTTTTGTGATGTGTAATTCATACTATTTTAAATTATCAGGTGTTAAAATACTGTATAAGATAGCCTGTATCCTTAATACTATCTCAAGTGCTCTGCATTGTTTGTCAAACACCTAAGCACGTTTGTCATCTTGACTTTTAGTTTGGAAAAACATACAGCCATTGGTTATTGTGACAGCTTGGAAATGTAAGTGTTCAACCCATTTAACTAATAAGTTGGTGTAAGCAAAATCAACATTTATTTTCTCTTAATAAGAAAAGCCTGAATATAAACTGCTCAGCTGCCTATTTTCCAAAGGCATATAAAAGGAAGGATGGATGCATCAGTTGCACCAGCATGAATTAAAATTAAAATATGGACTGAATGTGGGGAAAAAAAATCAGTATGCTCATTCAACTCCTCCCCAGCACCATTATATAAACAGAATTAAGGCAAATATGTAATTTCTACATCCAACAGCATATATGCCCTAAAAAATTGTAAAATATTTTGTTGAAACTTCAGTGAAACTGAATTCTGCTTTCTTTTTTGTACAAAGAATTTACTTTGTTCATCTGACTCCAGATTGACACCACAGAAACCATAATCCCATACTCCACAAACCATGTGCATCACTTCCAAATTACAATTATAATATTGTTTTGGAAAACAGAGAATATAAATTAAATTATTTCCCCCACATGGTACATTATGGGATTCCTGCACCATTCTATGCTACTGGCATACAGTAATCACCGAAAAGGAGATAATTGCATAAAATGTGTTGTCTAAAGTGCAGGAACATCCCTTATCACTGCACAGCACTTCAAGACTTGCACAGGGTAAGACTATTTTACTTCACAGATCAATGAAAAAGTGCTTCAAAAGGAGAAGTCAGCATCAGAGAGCTTACACAGAGGAACTCACCTTCATTACTCTATGACTTTCCAAAACTGTACCAGAATAACAGTTTCAGTGGCTTTAGTTGCAGGTTAATATTACACTAAAACCAGAGAGAATGCAAAGCATATATTAATGCATCCTTAGGAAGTGTGAACTCCTAATTACAGTATTACCTTGCCTATTACTCTATTGTTTCATAGCATTTAGGGGAATTCTACATGGTCATTTGCAGGTAGGTGAAAATGTTTTCTACTTGTGCAGCTGACTGACTGCAATCCAGCTCTGAATCACAAATAACACAGCCACAGTTCACAAGTCCACCCCATGATTTCACCAGAAAGGCCCATTCAGAGCAATACACAAAGCCCTCTAAAGCTCTATTCTCGGAGATTTGTCATCATTTCTTGTCAAAACTGGGGTTTATAGCTTGAGTCCTGTGGTAACCGCAGCAACATAATTTCTTCATCAGAGTTCTGCTGCTTTCAGCCAGAAAAAGGTACAGACTGAATGAATTTACCTCAACTGTCAAAAGATTGTGTAGCCATGACCTTGATACAACTCCTTCCTGATTCTTCGTTTAGACCTATGAACAGTACTCATCACAACTTTTTCATAGAAGAGTAAGAAGGAAAAGGAATGTGCCATTTTTTGCATGGATTTAGTGGGTTTTATAAATTATTTCCATACTTCCCCCAGCTACTTCACAGTCCTTACCATTCCTGTATTTTACCTTATAATTTTGGGGTTTTTTTCTTTTCATACAATCCGTTTTCCATACAGCACTATGTGAAAAGGATGCTGTTGTACTTTTCGTATCTGCTCATGTACTTCTTCATCAACAGCATTATAATTCTGTTGAATTTCAATTTCCCAAACAATGGGGTAGGGAAGATAAGGAGTATCAACTTTTTTTCTTTTCAAGACATCTTAAGAAAAAGCAAAGTAGGATAATTCATGGGGACTGAAAATTTACAGTACACGTTCACATTTGCTGTATAAAGCCCACTTCTAAGTCCATTGCTCTGTACAGTATAACTGCAGCTCACAGAGTGAGTGACATCTTGGTCACTCCAGGAGCTGGTATACCAGCAGATACGAACCGAAGAAATAATGTCAATCCAAGAACTAGACTGGAGTCTTCTAGCAGATATTGAATTTAATTGCACTCCAAAGCAAACGAACAAAAAATGTCCCATCTTATGCTGGTTTGGCAAGGATGGAGTTAATCTCCTCACTGCAAGTGCTCCATCCACACCACCCAAGTCAAAGAACGCAAAGGTGGGGACTGGGAGAACGAAGAACTTCCCGTGGTAGGAGAAGATCAGGTTTGAGACCATCTAAGGAACCTGAAGGTATACGAGCCCATGGGACCTGATGAGATGCATCTGTAGGTCCTGAGGGATCTGACAGATGAAGTGAGCGAGTGGCAGTGTGGTACTTAGTTGCCATGACCCATCTCTTGTATGTCTTTGTAAGAAGCCACAGTTAGACTGTTCAGACACAAAATAGTTACAAAGGCACTTGCAGGAACTTCACAAGATAATTCAATCTTATTCTCATAAGTACAAAGAACTATGATTTTAACAGTATGAACTGCCTGGAGGTACCTGCATTTCTCCTTTCATTTAGAGGAGGAGAGCTTGACCAAATACCTATATTGCACAGAGCTAAAATCAGGTGTGGTTAATGCTCTGATGACATTGAGGTGGAAATAATGAGCATTAAATGGGCAATATCAGTTCTTCCACAGATGAGGACTACAATGGGCAAACGGAATGAAAGCACAGAACAATGTTTAATATGCAAAGTATTAAAAAATCCCCATCAATGTCTTATCTTTGCTTTCATGCATATTCCCAGTCCCTAAATGCTAAGTGGGATTACTTATGCTTTAAATTTAAAGTGCATGCTCTGTTCCAGTATGCACAGTCAGCAACCCAGTTTCTCTTTTGAGCACATTTCAAAAGATGTGAACTGTTAAAGAAAACCCACACCATAATGATCTGAAGGCTGGTAACATCAGGAATGAGGGAAAACCTGAGACTTCTGCATGGCCTGGAAAAGGGATTCAGAACTCTGAATAGTCTATTCCACCCCAGTGCAACTGTGCTGAAATGGATGGACAGGGATGTTCTTCCAATATTCTAAATGAATTTTTGGTGAGGTCGGCTGGTAGCCTTTGTGTCCTAATCAAATGCCCAGTACCTAAAATTTCCCATTACAATTGACAAAGCTCTTACAGCACGACAACTTCCCTCTTACCTTCCCTGTGTGACTGCAACACCTCCAAGACCCACCTGAAGCTGTTGGCTAAAGCAGTAATTCCAATGTTTTCATCATTTTTGTACCATGCATGCATGAATGTATGTACATTTGCATGTATAAATATATCTCCCTCTGGCATCATTTACAGGCCCCAGAAATCCTTTCTGCTCTGCTGGTTTTGTTGTTTGTATGTTTGTATGTTACTGAACAACATCTTTGTAGAAGGAAATCTCAGAATAAAAATAGCATATCTAATGACTCGAAGGGACTTTCTGTCAGATGGATTTCAATATGACATTAGTTTACTAAGCGGGATTTGTATCTCTTGGAACTTCAACTTGTGAGATTGAGTAGAATATAGATTTTTCTAAGATAGGGTTAACACGAGTTTTATTGTAAACACTGGTGTGTCCTTCAGGTTTGAAATTTAGCAATGATCTTACTGCTGTTTATTTTGTCAGACAACTGGCACCACCACATTGTCACTGACCCCCTGTTCTTGGGCAGGCTTTGATATTGTAGCTAGTTGAGCTGGTAAAAATCCTCCACAGGGGGAGCTCATCCAGCTCATCCTTTTAGTCTTTATTCAAGAAACTGAGATGGGTAAAGATTTTGGTTTTATTCTCTTGAACTTGAAACCATCAGTAGATTGTATGTCTAAGATACACAGTCTGAAGAAACTTTGTGCTTGGTGGTAGTTCCACTTCAAGAAACAAACAAACAAACAAAAAAATTCTGGCTTTGCAGCAGATCAAAAATATATTACTGAGCTCAGACACAGTCTAGTTTGGGCACAAAAATTCCAGTGACAATTTCAAGAGAAATAAAATATGTACTTAATCCTTCAGGCAGTCTCATTGAGTTCCACTGATTTTTGATTAAGCAAAACAGACAGACAAACATAACTAACATTGTCCTTCCAACCAGTGGCCTCTGCCTGAAATCAGTGCTCCTGTATTACACTGGAGTTAATAGGCCCTTATCAAGAGAAAATTCTTATTTCATGAAAGACCTACTGTGCTTGTGTTATTCACATTATATTTCACAATTCTTGCTGTTTAAATCGTGGGCATTTTGCCAACAGAGAAGGATTGTTATTGTGTTTTTTTTCTCATAATCACACTTCCTGTTGCTTCTAATATAACACCCATTGTCAATACACTCAATGGGTCAATTTTGCTCTCACTTATAAAGTCCACTCAATCTTCCAAGGTTCCACAAAAAGCTGTTTGGTTTGGTAATGATGCAGGAACACTCTCTTAAAAAGAGATTCAAGGAGAGGGGTTTTGGGTTTTTTTAATTAAGGTTTTACACAGGATAAACAACATTCTCGATGACAGCCTGTCCAATCCCTATACTTTATATTAAGGAACATGCAACGAACCTCGTACATAAAGGATGAAGAGGCTGAGTGTTAGTCCCAGAATCTGCTGGGATGTGTGAAAAGTGACAGAATTTCCTTCTTCATTTCCATGGAAAACTCCACAAAAGCTTGATTGCCAGGAGTCAATGCCCTCAAAAGTTTTCAGTGATCATCAAGGCACTTTTTTCTTTCTATATTATTCAGGAACAATAAATATCCCCCTTCCATACGTCACAAATGCACCTAAGGTGATCTGCAACATTGTGAAAACCACTCCCCTAAATTTTGAAACCAGTAAAACACACTTCACATAGTTGCAGAATCTCACCTGCACTATAAAAAGTCATTTTTTTGCCACATACCTTTTTTTTGTTGGTGGGACAAATGTAGAAATTGTCAATAACAGTGGCAATCCCAGGCTGTAGATTCAACTTTGTGTATAATGTCCCAAAATCTGAAGACCTGAAAGAAATCAAACATCTGTAAGTGCTCTCTTCTAAAGGGTTCAGCATTGAAACTCTGCAAAAAAAGCCCCACTTTGTGGCACTAACTATCCATTTTCAATGTTTCTATGCCATCTTTTTGTTCTTTTCAGGGCTCGTTAGCTACTAAAAGAAATCTGCCACTATTGAGTATATTATTCTAGGTGTGAAAAAAACATGGCTAGTTCTGTCTGTATTTTGCAGTCTTATGCAGTGCTAGGGGGGTTTTTTCTGTGCAGTGACAGAAGCCTAAAATGTGCACCTTTCCATCTCCACCCACAAGGTGGGAAAAAAGAGCTATGAAGAGCACAGGCTCATTGGCAAGTACTAACAGCACCTCCTCAGCTATGCAGAAAAAGAAGAGCTGACTTCAGAGCTTGCTGTTGCATAAGAGAAGAATTTGGCCTGAGATCTGGAAGACTCACATTGGACCTCTACCAGAATAAGTACTTGATAAAGGTATCCATCCACTCCTACAGCTCTTTTTTAGAGGATTGCTGAGTTTTGAATGAATAAAACCAAAGTCAGTGCTTGGCCATCAGTATGTCACAAACACACACGTATCTATGAGTATTTCAAATGTGAGCACTCTGATGAATTTGTTTCATACTCCTGAAAAATCTGCAGTGAAAAATGGCATCCATGCTACTCATTTGTAGTGCCAATATCAATTATAAAAAGAACAGACAAGTAAAATGTTAGTATAAGAAAATGTTGGTGAAATTCAAAGGAAGTCACATTCAAATTTAAATCTCTTTGGATGAAACCTTGCTTGTTCTATTTAGAATCAAATTGTATCATGCACTCTCTCTATATTTCCAGTTATTCATTTTGCATTTGGAAAGGGACTCAGACACGTGTAAGGCACTTGTCCCTTCTTCACCAAGAAGTGCTCCCTAGGGCAGAGAGTTGGTGTGAGGACTTCCATTCCATACTCCCTTTCTTTTCACTGCAATAACAATCTCCTTTACAAACAGGGTTGAAGGTACCCCGCCCAGCAGCTCTGCATAATTCAAACAACTGGGAACATGCAACAGCTCTCATGTCTAAGAGAACGAAGAGGAGACCTCTGTCCTACCCAGTGTGACACTGAGGATTGCCTGTGCAGTGATTTCTGCCCTATAGCCCCAGTTCTACCACGTTCATTACTCTGAGGTGGGCTCTCCTTGCTCAGAGGAGTCACTGCTGAAGTTTGTGGGAATGTGACTGAATACAAGGAGAGAGAAAAGTGACAAACCAAATCCCTGGCCAAGTGTGTACACCTTGACAGGTAGCCCACTGCCTGAGGTATCCTCCAAGGCACGTGAGGCAGATTAGTCCCTGAGGGGCTGGTGCCTGCAGGAGGCTGCCATGACAGCCCACCTGCGTCCCAGTCCCACCGATGATGTCACCTAAGTTAAAGGGCACGTTGTACAAAGCCAGAGGTGTTTGCTGTGCTTTCACACATCCAGCTTTCCTCATGATACAAGAACTACCAGCTGCGGTCATGGAGCAGCTTTCTGTCTTTGGCATCACCAAACATAGTGGATGGCAGAGGATGATATGCTGGGATCAGGTCCTAAGGGATATCAAGCAAAGAAGGGTTCATGTTTACCTCGAATTTTCTTCCTTCTCCAGCAGTCAAAAAATGCAACTGCTCACACACAGAACACACTCACTGCCTAAAGCTGAGAGTTTAACCATTTTATAGTGATATCTGAATGGATTTGATCTGGTTTCCCCCTTTTCCCCCTCAATGTTGCTTCACCTGCAGATATAAAGCAATGCATTACAGAAGTTAATGGAATCATTACCACTCAGTTTTGACAAATAATTATGTAAAAATCAAATACATACAACTGAAGTGTACTAGGTGCTTAGCACAGAACTAATTAAAATCCTAAGGGGAATAGGATGGACAATTTAGCAAATTAGTGCTGAACCTAATTTGCCAGAGGTGTTCGACAGAAAAGAAATTAAAGCAAAGACTAAAATACTGACTTCAGCCAGATGTACTGAAATCATGCAGGGCAAGTACGTATGACAGAAACAACCTAGTCTATTCTCTTTGAGGAAAGAATATCAGGTCAGTGGTTTGCCCAATAATAACATCCTGAAATAATTCTCTGAACCTTAAATATGATTCAATTTACTTTGAAGAGGCAGTTCCAGGATTAATACAATGGGACCACTGGAGAGTGACACTGCAGGAGGGATGGTGGCAGCAACTGTATCAAGGTATGAAAAGAATATGGGCAGGAAGCCCAAAGAGAATAAGCCATTTCCAAGACAAAAAGTTCCAATCTAAAACTTCGTCTTCTAATTCTCGTGACTTTTAAAAAGTACTGCAAGAAAAGATTGAGGATTAAAAAAAAATAAGAGTGCACTAAGGTTACTATGGTATTTTCAAAGGCAGAAAAACTATATAGTCAAAAATCTTTTGTTTTCTGCTACAAGTTAGCAATCTCAGGGGGAAAAAAAAACATCCAGTGCGAACCTGAGACAATAGGTTAACACATCTCCCTAAAAGTACACCAGGCCTAAGCAGGAAGACCCAGATTGGAAGCAGATCTGTGGATCTATGGAGAAATCTACTCAGACTTTCGAACCTTTTTTATTATAGGCCAGGAATGTCAGTTAGTCTTTGAGACATTTATGCACAAGAGGACATAGTTGAAGGACATCAGTCAAGGGAAGCACTGTGCAAAAAAAATTGGTTTTCTACATCTGCTATAATACAGAGGAAACAGGTCACCCCAACATTTTTGCTTGAGATATAAATTCCAAGTTCCTGTCTCTGCATATATAAAAAAAACTAACATTTTGTGGCACAAAGCTAGAATAGAGTTCCCTGTAATTGCACTACTGGGCTGCAGATAGGACTGGGGAGGATGAATTCTGGGATCTCAGTGCCTTAATTTGTACCAAATTAAGGAGAGGAGAAGTCCTATGGTTTTCCAGTCATAAAGAGATTTTTTTGTCTGCTAGAAACCAAACTTTTGCTGTGTCAAAAGTGTTAAGGAGATGGAAAAAAATCCACGAGACATCTGTGTTTATCAGTACAAACATATTCTCTTTCCTCCCTAAAAATTCATTAAAAGATATTTCAAGTTATAATGGAAAGAAAATACACATGCACCTGATGAGAAGAGGAAAACTTTCTGCTACTGCAGGGTTTATTTGCAGTGGTAGCACAACAGCAAAACTCCATAAACCAGAGCAAGAAGTGTAAAGATTAATTTTGCAAAGATGAGCCTGACCTGCAGTTCTAAGTGATCCAGATGCAGTTCATTAGAATTTTGACTTTCTGTGAGATATTGCAGGGGATACAACAAGAGATATATAGGCTGCCCCCTCCTGCTGGGTATCCACCATGCACTACAGGCTACAGATCACATGGATGTTTCCTTGTAGAGCAGAACTCAGTGGAGGACTCATAGGAAACACATCTTCCAGTATTCAGGTGATGGGTGACAGAACCATCAGATGGTGGAATGACATGATTCCTCATGACTGTGCAGACATCACACAAGCCGAGCCTGACAGAGCTTGGGGCTGGGTGACAGTTTCTTTGAAAGTATGTACATCTGTTGAAATCTGTGTCATAGTTTTTTTTCTTTAAGGAAAAATCAGTTGTCACTGTAAGAATAGCATGTTCAAATAACAATCCTCAAAATCATACAATGATATTACAGCACAGACATAATTAGGTATTTTTAGCTTGTTTTAATACTGTGAGATCAAAAAATAGGAAAACTTCCAAGTGGTACAGATATGTACCCTGATGAAATAAAACTCCCAAAGCCCCTAAGCTCTGAGTAAATTTGGGTCTCATCCTTAAAAATTTAACTTTTTTATATTTGAGCTAAAATAAATCTATGCTTAACACAAGTTGGAACTGTATCTAAACACTGGATTTGGACATCTTCCAACAGAAATATTGAGAAAGAAGAAGAAATTTAACAGATACAAAAAGAGACATGAACCAAATGTTTGCCTATCTAAACTTCACTATCATACAGTTCTCCACTGCTGACTCACACCTATGATTCGATATTGCTCATTGTTAGTTGTTTTCTCCAGATTATATTTACAAGTAGATATTAATATATAAGAAACATTAAAATTAATATAGTAGGATGTTAATGAAGATTCTTTGAGATGAAAATTTCATTCAAAAGTCAAATTTCATACTCAAAGAAAACATGAACTACAAAAAATGCTTTCTCCTTTTTTTTTTTTTCTAATGAATGGAAGAGATACACTAGAAAGAGAACGGCTGGAATGCTTAACACACATGTTCATCAAATTTCCTCTACCTTTTCTTCTTAAAGATTAACTCAAGCTCCATTCTAGTCAAATGAGCCATACTGTACAAGCCCCATTAGCTTAAAATCCTGGAAGACAACAATGAAGAGATTTCAAATGACTCATGGATTACTTAACTGGTGAAACAAAAAGAAAGTCTTTGAAAAAAAAATACAAAAGATCTGCTGGTTTAGATCATTTGTAAGTTGTTGAAAAAAAAGATTCATTGAGATGCACGTTACAGAATCAAGGAAGAGTGGATCTGTGCATAAAACTCACTGGACTGTTTCCCACTTAATTTTCTCCAGACTGTATTGCAAATGTTGTCTTCTCGCCTACCTCTCCTTTCTGTCGACAGAACAGCCCAGGATTTACAACATGAACTTTAAAATGCAGGAGAAATTATTTTAGGTTCTTGCTCTATCACAAACTTATATCTAACAGTAGGATTTTCTTTGTGCTCTGGTCCCTCACCCGAAAAATAGAGACAATGCTGTTTACTATACCTCAAATGCCTGTAAGGAGCACATGCCCTATGAAGAGTGGCTGAGGGAGCTGGGGTTGTTTAGCCTGGAAAACAGGTCTCAGGGGAAACCTCATCCCTCTCTACAGCTACCTGAAAGGAGGTTGTAGCCAGGTGGGGGTTGGTCTCTTCTCCCAGGCAACCAGCCGTAGGACAAGAGGGCACGGTCT